CCCTCATGTCCCCTCTCCTGTCCCCAGATTTCCACCGCTGCCAGAAGGCGATGGCGGCCAAGGGGGCGGACGCCCCGCCCTGCCAGTGGTACCAGCGCGTCTACAAGTCCCTCTGCCCCATCGAGTGGGTGAGTGGTGGCACCTCAGCGTCTCCCACCCCGTCCCCATGATGTCACCGTGGGCCTTGGGTCCCCCACGGCGTCCCCGCCATGTCACCATGGGCCCATGTCCCCATGGTCTTCAGGTCCCTCATGGTGTCCCTACGGCCCTTGGGTTCCTCTTGGGTCCCCCATGATCTTCAGGTCCTCCACAATGTCCCCCTGGCCCCTGGGTCCCCCACGGTGTCCCCGCCATGTCACCATGGGCCCTGGGTCCCTCACGGTGTCCCCATGGTCTTCAGGTCCCTCATGGTGTCCCTACGGCCCTTGGGTTCCTCTTGGGTCCCCCATGATCTTCAGGTCCTCCACAATGTCCCCCTGGCCCCTGGGTCCCCCACGGTGTCCCCGCCATGTCACCATGGGCCCTGGGTCCCTCACGGTGTCCCCATGGTCTTCAGGTCCCTCATGGTGTCCCTACGGCCCTTGGGTTCCTCTTGGGTCCCCCATGATCTTCAGGTCCTCCACAATGTCCCCCTGGCCCCTGGGTCCCCCACGGTGTCCCCGCCATGTCACCATGGGCCCTGGGTCCCTCACGGTGTCCCCATGGTCTTCAGGTCCCTCATGGTGTCCCTACGGCCCTTGGGTTCCTCTTGGGTCCCCCATGATCTTCAGGTCCTCCACAATGTCCCCCTGGCCCCTGGGTCCCCCACGGTGTCCCCGCCATGTCACCATGGGCCCTGGGTCCCTCACGGTGTCCCCACCGTGTCCCCATGGTCTTCAGGTCCCTCATGGTGTCCCTACGGCCCTTGGGTTCCTCTTGGGTTCCTCCTGGTCTTCAGCTCCCTCATGGTGTTCCTATGATGTCCCCACAGCCCTTGGGTTCCTCTTGGGTCCCCCATGATCTTCAGGTCCTCCACAATGTCCCCATGGCCCCTGGGTCCCCCACGGTGTCCCCGCCATGTCACCATGGGCCCTGGGTCCCTCATGGTGTCCCCACCATGTCCCCATGGTCCTCAGGTCCCTCACAGTGTCCCCACAGCCCTTAGGTTCCTCTTGGGTTCCTCTTGGTCTTCAGGTCCCCCACGGCATCCCCACGGTGTCACCATGGGCCCTGGGTCCCCCACGATGTCCCCATGGTCTTCAGGTCCCTCATGGTGTCCCTACGGCCCTTGGGTTCCTCTTGGGTTCCTCTTGGGTCCCCCATGGTCTTCAGGTCCCCCACAATGTCCCCATGGGCCCTGGGTCCCCCGTGATGTCCCCATGGTCTTCAGGTCCCTCATGGTGTCTCTATGATGTCCCCACAGCCCTAGGGTTCCTCTTGGGTTTCTCTTGGGTCCCCCATGGTCTTTGGGTCCCTCACAATGTCCCTACGATGTCCCCATGGGCCCTGGGTCCCCCATGATGTCCCCATGGTCCTCAGGTCCCTCACGGTGTCCCTATGATGTCCGTATGGCCCTTGGGTTCCTCTCAGGTCCCCCATGGTCTTCAGGTCCCCCACGGTGTCCCCATGATCTTCAGGTCCGTCATGGTGTCCCTATGATGTTCCTACAGCCCTAGGATTCCTCTTGGGTCCCCCACAGTCTTCAGGTCCCTCACAATGACCCCCACGATGTCCCCCACGATGTCCCCATGGCCCCTGGGTTCCCCATGATGTCCCCATGGTTGTCAGGTCCCTCATGGTGTCCCTATGATGTCCCTATGGCCCTTGGGTTCCTCTTGGGTCCCCCATGATGTCCCCACTGTGTCCCCATGGTCTTCAGGTCCCTCATGATGTCCCTACGGCCCTTGGGTTCCTCTTGGGTTCCTCTTGGGTTCCTCTTGGGTTCTCCATGGTCTTCGGGTCCCCCATGATGTCCCCATGGCCCCTGGGTCCCCCACAGTGTCCCCACGGTGTCCCCATGATCTTCAGGTCCCTCATGGTGTCCCTATGATGTCTTCATGGGCCTTGGCTCCCTCACGATGTCCCCACCATGTCCCCATGGGCCTTGGGTCCCTCTTGGGTCCCCTGTGGTCTTCAGGCCCCTCACAATGTCCCCACGGTTCTTGGGTCCCTCTCAGGTCTCCCACAGTGTCCCCATGATCTTCAGGTCCCCCATGGTGTCCCCATGATGTCCCCATGGGCCTTTGGTCCCCCACGATATCCCCATGGTGTCCTCACGCTGTCCCCATGGTCCTTGGGTCCCCCACAATGTCCCCAGGGTCCTCAGGTCCTCCCCAAGGTCCCCCATGGTGTCCCCTGGGTCCCGATGTCCACCTTGGGTCCCTCTCTGGTCCCCCACGGTGTCCCCAAGGTGTCCCCAGGGTCCCCACATTCCCCCTGGTGTCCCCCTTGGTCCTTGGGTCCCTCCCTGGTCCCCCCCAGTGTCCCAAACAGTGTCCCCATGCTCCTCAGGTGTCCCCAAGGTCCCCCATGGTGTCCCCATCCCCCTTGGGGTCCCCCCCGTGGTGTCACCACATCCCCCATGATGTCACTGTGTCCCCCACAGTGTCCCCCTTGGTTCTTGGGTCCCTCCCTGTTCCCCCCCAATGTCCCCAACGGTGTCCCCATGCTCCTCAGGTGTCCCCAAGGTCCCCCATGGTGTCCCCAGGGTGTCCCCATTCCCCTTGGGGTCCCCCCCATGATGTCACCACATCCCCCATGGTGTCCCCCTTGGTCCTTGGGTCCCTCTCAGGTCCCCCAGGGTGTCCCCACGATGTCCCCAAGGTCCCCCACGGTGTCCCCATTCCTCCTTGGCGTCCCCCCCGTGATGTCACCACATCCCCCATGATGTCACCACATCCCCCACGGTGTCCCTCTTGGGTGCCCCCCCACTGTCCCCAGGGTGTCCCCATCCCCTCTTGGAGTCCCCCCCATGGTGTCATCGCATCTCCCTGTGATGTCGCCGCGTCCCCCATGATGTCATCACGTCCCCCGTGATGTCACCACGTCCCCCCGTGATGTCACCGCGTCGTCCCCCCCATGGTGTCATCGCATCTCCCTGTGATGTCGCCGCGTCCCCCATGATGTCATCACGTCCCCCGTGATGTCACCACGTCCCCCCGTGATGTCACCGCGTCGTCCCCCCCATGGTGTCATCGCATCTCCCTGTGATGTCGCCGCGTCCCCCATGATGTCATCACGTCCCCCGTGATGTCACCACGTCCCCCCGTGATGTCACCGCGTCGTCCCCCCCATGGTGTCATCGCATCTCCCTGTGATGTCACTGCGTCCCCCATGATGTCATCACGTCCCCCGTGATGTCACCACATCCCCCATGGTGTCCACCTTGGCCTTTGGGTCCCTCTTGGGTGTCCCCAGGGTTGTCCCCATCCCCCTTGGGGTCCCCCCCGTGATGTCACCGCGTCGTCCCCCCCATGGTGTCATCGCATCTCCCTGTGATGTCACTGCGTCCCCCATGATGTCATCACGTCCCCCGTGATGTCACACATCCCCCCATGGTGTCCACCTTGGACTTTGGGTCCCTCTTGGGTGTCCCCAGGGTTGTCCCCATCCCCCTTGGGGTCCCCCCCGTGATGTCACCGCGTCGTCCCCCCCATGGTGTCATCGCATCTCCCTGTGATGTCACTGCGTCCCCCATGATGTCATCACGTCCCCCGTGATGTCACCACATCCCCCATGGTGTCCACCTTGGCCTTTGGGTCCCTCTTGGGTGTCCCCAGGGTTGTCCCCATCCCCCTTGGGGTCCCCCCCGTGATGTCACCGCGTCGTCCCCCCCATGGTGTCATCGCATCTCCCTGTGATGTCACTGCGTCCCCCATGATGTCATCACGTCCCCCGTGATGTCACCACATCCCCCATGGTGTCCACCTTGGCCTTTGGGTCCCTCTTGGGTGTCCCCAGGGTTGTCCCCATCCCCCTTGGGGTCCCCCCCGTGATGTCACCGCGTCGTCCCCCCCATGGTGTCATCGCATCTCCCTGTGATGTCACTGCGTCCCCCATGATGTCATCACGTCCCCCGTGATGTCACCACATCCCCCATGGTGTCCACCTTGGCCTTTGGGTCCCTCTTGGGTGTCCCCAGGGTTGTCCCCATCCCCCTTGGGGTCCCCCCCGTGATGTCACCGCGTCGTCCCCCCCATGGTGTCATCGCATCTCCCTGTGATGTCACTGCGTCCCCCATGATGTCATCACGTCCCCCGTGATGTCACCACATCCCCCATGGTGTCCACCTTGGCCTTTGGGTCCCTCTTGGGTGTCCCCAGGGTTGTCCCCATCCCCCTTGGGGTCCCCCCCGTGATGTCACCGCGTCGTCCCCCCCATGGTGTCATCGCATCTCCCTGTGATGTCACTGCGTCCCCCATGATGTCATCACGTCCCCCGTGATGTCACCACATCCCCCATGGTGTCCACCTTGGCCTTTGGGTCCCTCTTGGGTGTCCCCAGGGTTGTCCCCATCCCCCTTGGGGTCCCCCCCGTGATGTCACCGCGTCGTCCCCCCCATGGTGTCATCGCATCTCCCTGTGATGTCACTGCGTCCCCCATGATGTCATCACGTCCCCCGTGATGTCACCACATCCCCCATGGTGTCCACCTTGGCCTTTGGGTCCCTCTTGGGTGTCCCCAGGGTTGTCCCCATCCCCCTTGGGGTCCCCCCCGTGATGTCACCGCGTCGTCCCCCCCATGGTGTCATCGCATCTCCCTGTGATGTCACTGCGTCCCCCATGATGTCATCACGTCCCCCGTGATGTCACCACATCCCCCATGGTGTCCACCTTGGCCTTTGGGTCCCTCTTGGGTGTCCCCAGGGTTGTCCCCATCCCCCTTGGGGTCCCCCCCGTGATGTCACCGCGTCGTCCCCCCCATGGTGTCATCGCATCTCCCTGTGATGTCACTGCGTCCCCCATGATGTCATCACGTCCCCCGTGATGTCACCACATCCCCCATGGTGTCCACCTTGGCCTTTGGGTCCCTCTTGGGTGTCCCCAGGGTTGTCCCCATCCCCCTTGGGGTCCCCCCCGTGATGTCACCGCGTCGTCCCCCCCATGGTGTCATCGCATCTCCCTGTGATGTCACTGCGTCCCCCATGATGTCATCACGTCCCCCGTGATGTCACCACATCCCCCATGGTGTCCACCTTGGCCTTTGGGTCCCTCTTGGGTGTCCCCAGGGTTGTCCCCATCCCCCTTGGGGTCCCCCCCGTGATGTCACCGCGTCGTCCCCCCCATGGTGTCATCGCATCTCCCTGTGATGTCACTGCGTCCCCCATGATGTCATCACGTCCCCCGTGATGTCACCACATCCCCCATGGTGTCCACCTTGGCCTTTGGGTCCCTCTTGGGTGTCCCCAGGGTTGTCCCCATCCCCCTTGGGGTCCCCCCCGTGATGTCACCGCGTCGTCCCCCCCATGGTGTCATCGCATCTCCCTGTGATGTCACTGCGTCCCCCATGATGTCATCACGTCCCCCGTGATGTCACCACATCCCCCATGGTGTCCACCTTGGCCTTTGGGTCCCTCTTGGGTGTCCCCAGGGTTGTCCCCATCCCCCTTGGGGTCCCCCCCGTGATGTCACCGCGTCGTCCCCCCCATGGTGTCATCGCATCTCCCTGTGATGTCACTGCGTCCCCCATGATGTCATCACGTCCCCCGTGATGTCACCACATCCCCCATGGTGTCCACCTTGGCCTTTGGGTCCCTCTTGGGTGTCCCCAGGGTTGTCCCCATCCCCCTTGGGGTCCCCCCCGTGATGTCACCGCGTCGTCCCCCCCATGGTGTCATCGCATCTCCCTGTGATGTCACTGCGTCCCCCATGATGTCATCACGTCCCCCGTGATGTCACCTCCTCTCCTCCATCTTCATCCTCCCCCTCCTCCATCTTCATCCTCCTCCTTCTCCTTCTCCTCCACCTTCATCCTCCTCCTCCTTCATCTTTATCCTCTCCCCCTCCTCCTCCATCTTCATCCTCCTCCTTCTCCCCCTCCTCCATCTTCATCCTCCTCCTTCCTCCTCCTTCATCTTCATCCTCCTCCTCCTTCACCTTCATCT